GTATCCCTTTAATTTCTTTCATCTATCTAATTGCTCTGGCCAGTGTTTTGAGAACTATGTTAAGTAAAAGTGGTGAAAAGGGCATCCCTGCCTTGTTCCAGTTTTTAGAGGGAATGCCTTCAATTTTTTCTACATTTAGAATGATGTTGGCCTGGGGCTTAGCATAGATAGCCTTTATGATGTTGAGATATGTTTCTGTTATCCCTGGTTTTTCTAGTGTTTTGAATACAAAGGGATGCAGTATGTTGTCAAATGCTTTTTCTGTGTCTATTGAGATGATCATATGATTTTTATCTTTAAGTCTGTTGATGTGATGAATTACATTTATTGATTTCCGTTATGTTGAACCATCCTTGCATCCCTGGAATGAATCCTGCTTGGTTGTGGTGCACTATTTTTTTATATGTTTTTGTATTCAATTTGTCAGAATTTTTTGAGAATTTTTGCATCTATGTTCATTAGAGATACTGGTCTGATGTTTTATTTTTTTTTTCATGTGTCTTTGCCTGGTTTTGGAATCAGAGTGATATTGGCCTCATAGAGTGAGTTTGGAAATGCTGCCTGTTTTTCTATTTCCTGAAATAAGTTGAAGAGTATTGGTGTTAGTTCTTTTTTAAAGGTCTTGTAGAACTCAGCTGTGTATCCATCTAGTCCTGGGCTTTTCTTGATTGGAAGGCTTCTGATGGCGTCTTCTATTTCATCACTTGAAATTGATCTGTTTAAATTGTGTATATCATCCTGATTCAATTTGGGCAAATCATATGATTCTAGAAATGTGTCAATGCTTTCAATATTTTCTATTTTTTGGAGTACACATTTTCAAAATCATTTCTAATTATCTTCTGTATTTCTGTAGTGTCTGTTATGATAGTTCCTTTTTCATCACATGTGTTAGTAATTTGAGTTTTTTTTTCTCCTTCTCTTCATTAGCATGGCTAAGGGTCTGTCAATTTTATTTATTTTTTCAAAGAATCAACTTTTTGTTCCGTCAATATTTTCAATTATTTCTTTTGTTTCAATTTCATTGATTTCAGCTCTGATTTTAATTATATCCTGTCTTACTGCTTTTGGTGTAGATTTGTTGTTCTTTTTCTAGGGCTTTGAGATGTAATGTTAAATCATTTATTTGTTGACTTTTTCTTCTTTTAAGGAATGAACTCTATGCAATGAACTTTCCTCTTAGAACTGCCTTCATAGTGTCCCAGAGATTTTGATATATTATATCTGTGTTCTCATTCACCTCTAAATTTTTTTAATCTCCTCCTTGATGTCTTCTGCAACCCATTGTTCATTCAGTAGTATATTATTTAGTTTCCAAGTGTTGGAAGTAGCTTTTATTTCTTATTTTATCATTGATTTCTAATTTCATTTCATTATGATCTGATAGAATGCAGGGTAGTATCTTTACTTTTTTATATTTGCTAAGAGTTGCTTTGTGGCATAATATATGATCTATTTGAGAGAAGGGCCCATATGCTGCTGAGAAGAAGTGTATTATCTTGTTGAAGGATGAAATATTCTGTATATGTCAGTTAAATCTAAGTTATTGATTGTATTATTGAGTTCTATTGTTTCTTTGTTCAGCTTTTGTTTGGAAGATCTCTCCAGTGGTGAAAGGGGTGTGTTAAAGTCACCCAAAATTATTGTGTTTTGGTCTATTTAACTCTTGAACTTGAGAAGAGTTTGTTTGATGAACGTAGATGCTCCTTGTTTGGGGCATATATATTTATAATTGTCAAGTCTTTTTGGTATATGGTTCCCTTGAGCAGTATGTAGCGTCCTTCTTTATACCTTTTGATTAACTTTAGCTTGAAGTCTACTTTATTTGATATGAAGACGGAAACCCCTGCTTGCTTCCGCAGTCCATGTGAGTGGTATGATTTTTCCCAATTCTGTACCTTCAGTCTGTGGATGTCTTTTTCTATGAGATGAGTTTCTTGGAGGCATAGTGTTGGGGTTTTTTGTTTTGTTTTGTTTTGTTTTAATCCAATCTGCTATTCTATGTGTTTTTATTGGTGAGTTTAGGCCATTAATATTCAGGGTTATTATTGAGACATGATTTGTATTCCCAGCCGTTTTTGTTATTTAACATGACTTGGTTTCTCCTCTGATTAGGTTTTCCTTTAGTGTAATACCTCCCTCTGCTGATTTCCAACCTTGTTTTTAATTTCCTCTTCATGGAATATTTTGCTGAGGATATTCTGTAATGCAGGCCTTCTAGCTGTAAATTCTTTTAACCTTTGTTTATCATGGAACGTTTTTATTTCATCATCAAACCTAAAGCTTAGTTTTGCTAGGTATAAGATTCTTGGTTGGCATTCATTTTCTTTTAGAGCTTGGTATATGTTGTTCCATAATCTCCTGGCTTTGAGGTCCTGGATTGAAAAATATGCTGAGATATGAATTGGTCTCTCCTTGTATGTGATCTGATTCCTCTCTCTTGTGGCTTTTAAGATTCTATCCTTATTCTGTATGCTAAGCATTTTCATTATAATGTGCCTTATTGTAGATCTGTTGTAATTTTGTACATTTGGTGTCCTGTAAGCTTCTTGTATTTGGTTTTCCAATTCATTCTTCATGCTTCAAGTTTTCTGATATTATCTCAATGGAGAGATTGTGCATTTTTTTGGTTTGAAACTCTGTGCCTTTCTCTATCCCAATAATTCTTGGATTTGGTCTTTTGATGCTGTCCCATAATTCTTGGATGTTCTGTTCATGGTTTCTTACTGTCTTCACTGTGTGATCAACTTTATTTTCCAGATTGTATATTTTGTCTTGATTATCTGATATTCTTTCTTCCAATTGATCTAATCTGTTGGTTATGCTTTCTATTGAGATTTTTATTTGGTTTATTGTATCCTTCATTTCAAGGATTTCTGAATTTTTTTTTCAGAGTCTCTCGTTCTTGAAGTAATCTTTTGCTACCTGTATTTGTTCTCTTATCTACTTGTTGGAATGATCAATTTTTGCATGTATTTTCTCATTTAGGTCATTCTTTAATTCACAGATCATTTTAATTATGAACCTTCTGAACTCCTTCTCTGACATTTCATCAACTTCACTGTCCATGGGTTCTGTTACTGTAGTATTCTGATTTGTTTGGGGTAATTTCCTCCCTTGTTCTTTCATGTTGTCTATGCGTTTTTGTTTTTTGCAGTGTGGATCCTAGACCTGGGTCCTGTGCAAATCAGTGACGGCAGATCTGGTCCAGGCCTGAGCTCCCACAGTAGTCTTCTGTTGAAAGGGGCAGTCCCTAGCCGAGGCTGGGCTCTGGTGGTATCTGCCGGTGTTGGGATGGACCGGGGCCTACTGTGAGTCTGGGTCCCAGGCAGGCAAGTGGGCACATCTGCACATTGGCTATTTTAACTTGGCAATTTCTACCTATCTGCCTCCCTCCCACCTGCCTTGCCAGCTACACCTGCTTCTTTTTAAATGAGATGGGTAGACCAAGAGGAAAGTCTCTCTCCCTAATTGGGTAGCTGAAATCATATCTTTGAAAGGAATATTTATCTGTTATGGGCCTTCTCTACTCAAGATATTGCCCATAGATCTGGGCACAGTGGGTCACACTTATAATCCCAGTGACTCAGAAGGCTGAGGCAGGAGGATTGCACTTTTTATTTTTTTTTACTTTTTAAAAAAACATTTTTAATTGTAGAATGACACAATACATTTATTTTTAAAATTTATTTTGTATGTGATGCTGAGGATCATATGTAGTGCCTCTCCTGTGCTCAGCAAGGACTCTACTACTGAGCTACAGCCCAAGCCCAGGATTGCAAGTTTGAGGCCAGCATCAGCAATTTAGCAAGGTCCTGTACAATTAAGTGAAGCCCTATCTCAAAACAGAAAACAACAACAACAAAAGGGCTGTGGTTGTGGCTCAATGGTAAAGCAATTCTAGGTTCAATACCCAGTACCAAAAAAAAAAAAAAGGTATGGCCCACAGACCAACAGCATCCATATCACCTAGAAGGTATTAGAAATGCAGAATCTCAGGCCCCAACACTGCCCTACTGAATCAGACTTGAATCCCCAGGTGACTTTAATGCATGTTATATTTTGAGAAATACGATGTTGACCATTTAAAGGATTCTGGATTTTATCTTACCAGTAATAGAGAACCACTAAAATATTTTAGGTTGGAGATTACATTTTTAGATTTGTAATTTAAAATGTTAGAAATGATGTTTGTCTTTGACAGGGAAAACTTTTAGCTGGAGACAGAAATAGGACTGAGACTTTTCACTGTATAACTTTCCACAGGCCCCTATTATATGGTAGTCCCTGGCAGCATGTGGCCTGTGTGCTGCCCTCACACCCTAACCTCACTCTCATTCCTACACTGTGAAGAATGGACACCCTGCCTTCATATTTCAGGACTCTGTGTATACCCCAAAATGTTCTTTGTCTTCTCCCTTGGTTTTGGGGTATATTCATGGGCTCTGTGGCAGTCATAGGGAGGACAACCTTTAAGTAAGCCCTGGTAGCAGGCTTAGACCTTTTGGGCAGAGTCTCCCAGGATTCCTTGAACCTGAAGCATAGTCATGGGTAGGCATATGCCCTTGATTTTGTGGACTTATGTGTTAGAAGGGTACAGTTGGAGGAGGTATATGAAAGGTCCTCTAAAGTGCAAGGGCCCACTGTCTATGTCTTAGAGACATAATGCCCTTTTGCACCTTCTATTTTCAAACCATTTGAATGCATTTTGTTCAATGCGAATATATTTTCTACATAGAAAGTTAAGTAAAATGGAACATTGAATCATAATAAATAAAATCATATTGGTTCCTATGTGGTAAGTAGACCATAGGGGCATATTTATGGAAGCTATCCAATTAAAAAGCTATTGCAGGAGCTGGGGACATAGCTCAATTGGTGGAGTGCTTGCCTCACAAAGGCCCTGGGTTCAATCCCCAGCACCATCCGCACACACACACACACACACACACACACACACACAGCTATTGCAGCTCAGGCACAATGGTACTTGCCTCTAACTCCCAGCTATCCAGGAGACTGAGTCAGGAGGATGACAAGTTAAGATTCAGTGTGGTAGACAACTGAGTGAGACCAGTCAACTTAATGAGGTGAAGAACATAGCTGGGTTCAATCCCTAGTACTGACAAAAGAAAAGAAAAAACCAATTTCAGTGTTTTAGCAATAGTTACTGTAATGCTTGGACTAATGTGATAGTAATGAAAAATGCAATTTTGATTAATATTTTTAAATATTTCATTGCTGTATTGTTTAAGTTACATAAACTCAGTACTATCAATTTTTTTTTCTTAAAGAGTTAGTGGAAAATAACCTATTGGCCTGTGTATCTTTGAAAAATTATTTTTTACTTTGCCTTTCAATTCATTATAGGTGATTAATATATTCTGCTAAATCATGTTTAGAACATATGTGAAGACTGTAAAGACATTCCATTATTTTAACATTTAGTGTTTATATTGAGAAATTTCATATCTATCAAAATTCTCATTATTTTTATATAAAAAACTATTTTTGTTTATTTTACTTCTCCCCCAGAAAATTTGTTTTCTTTTTTCTCCAACTGTTTAAAAACCTATTGAAAAGTTCAAAGAGTAGTATAGTAAATACTATAATCCCTTAACCTAGATTCACATATTGTTAGTTAACATTTTACCACAATGACCTTTTCTATTAATCTTCTTTTGCTGAACCTCTTAAAAGTTAGATACTTCAATTTTAAATATTTTATTATGTATGTATCTCCTAAGAATAAAAACAGTTTGGTAGCTTAAGAAGCTTTTATTATTCTTAGCATTTTGAAATTTCATTAGTATATGTCAGAGTATGTGTGTGTCCGTGTCCCTATCCTGGCTCCCCTTTTATTGTGATTCCTTTACACTTGGGTCCTGCCAAAATCAAGATTTGAATCTCAAATTATTCTTCTTTTATTAATTTGATTATTTTTTTTCTATTAGCTCTCTTATGTCTCTTCTTTTTGGCCTATAGTTATACTCGGCATCTCATAATGTTACCTGATGTTATCTTTAAAATTAAAAATTTTAATTTCAGACCACTTCTACTTAAGAATTCATTCTTTGATTTTTCCTTTCTCAGAGCAACCAATTCTTGTATTATGAATATTTTATTCTCTGAGGATGTCAAAATTTTAATTAGTCTCTTTTCCTCTCTGCCGAATCAGTCAAGATCCTGGCATGGATCTCGAGATGACTGAAGAAAGTTTAATGGAAGGAGTATTTACATAGATATGGGCATGATTATGGGAAACCAACATGGATGATGAGCATTTTGAACTGATAACAGCTGAAAGTTTTTGTCATCCCTAAACTTCAGGAGGCAGGGCTGGGAATAATTACTGGAATCTGTAGAGTTATAGGAGAAGGCTACCTGCCTAATAAAAACTATGGCCTTCGGTAGAGGAATATGCCCATTTCTAGCCCTCAGCCTGGCAGGAACAGAATTGGATGAATAAATATCCTGACCTTCTTCTAGCTGTCCTTTAGTCTGTTAGTGCCCGTTGGAAGAACCCAACCATCAATTAATGACAAAGGGAGCCCTAATGATACAGTTCACTGTGGAGAAGCAAAAGCCAGGATCCAGTAAGACAGGTATGATTTGGATAGACAAGTAGAAAATATCTGGCATATGGTGTCTATTTCATGCTGTTTAGGAGAACATCTTAATGCATGTGTTGAGACCTAAAGGTGTAACACTTCTGGCTGATCTAGTGCAAGAATGCAGCAGCAAAAATAAATTGATGAGAGCTGTTGAGGGTTTTGAGGGGATTTAAAAAAAAAAAAAGACATTTGAGGACTCGAAAACAAGACATCCAGGTGTGGTGGCAACTCGTGTTACTCAGCCAATTCAGGAGGCTTGAGGCAGGAGGATCACTAGTTTTAACTTAGCCAGACACTGGTTCAAAATAAAAAGGGCTGGGGATATACCTCAGTGGTAGATTGCTGGCCTACCATACTCAAGGCCCTGGGATCAGTCTCTAGTACAACAACAGAAATGGGGAACAGAGATGGAAAAGTATAGAGGGAGGGAGGATAATAAGGTAGAGATATAGCCATAGAAATGAGGCTCTGCCAATAACATGGACCCCTTTGAAGTGCTTACATTATTTTTTTGTTTTCTTTGTGAAAGACCATATTTAGCATCCAGTTTTAGAGGATTTTTTTCTCATCTCCATTCTAATTATATTTTATTTACACTCCTAAACTCTATGCCTACTACATCTTAGTGATGGTTTGGGGAGTGACGTTTGAATGGGCACTGTGCAGGAAGGGTGCCAGGAAAGCTCAGAGAAGTGGTTAATGTAGAGGAGCCTGCAGTGGAAATGACACAATGCCTTTGTGTCCTAATAGATTGAAGATCTGTAGAGGGGGAGGGGAAGTTGGGGAGTAAGAGGGTTATTGGGGCTCAAGCTGTTTGTGAGTGTAATGGGAGGGGAAGGATAATAGGATATCCAGACTGCAGGCTTTTGGGGTTATATAATCTTTCATTCATCACAAAACCAGCCAGATTATGTAGTGTTAAAATGAAAGGTTAAAAAATATACATTCTAAAAGTAAATATGTTGATTTTTAAATATTGCATCAGAGTAACCAGATCCAAATAAATATGAGATGATAATGGCTAAATTTTACATATTTTTCCAGATGTTAATGTTTGTTTTGTATTCTGATATCTTTTCTACTACTTCGCAAGTTAATTTTCTCTGTACAGACTCTCTCAAGCTTTTTTCTTTTTCTTTCTTTTTTTTTGAAGGTGGGTACCATGGATTGAACTCAGGGGCACTTGACCACTGAGCCATATCCCCAGCCCTATTTTGTATTTTATTTAGAGACAGGGTCTCATTGTGTTGCTTAGTGCCTTGCTTTTGCGGAGGCTGACTTTGAACTTGAGATCCTCTTGCCTCAGACTCCTGAGCTGCTGGGATTACAGGCATATGCCACTGCACTCAGCTCAAGACGCTCTCAGATTTTTAAGTTTAGCACTCTTTCACTATTGCAACATTTTTATTTTGGAGATGGTGATTATCTTTTTATTTTAAAAACAATATTCATTTATATTAGCTGGTTATTTGAATGGTTTAGGAGTTTTCACCATATTGAGTATCTTTGTAGGCCTCCTTTTTCCTGTTCAAGTTAAACATTTCTAAAAAATAGAAGACCATCTAAGTGACTACTTTGACTTCATCTTATTTTTATTAAACTTTAAAATGTCATCAGCTGATTTCAATGCTATGATACTTGTCTGTCTTACTCAAATTTGTCAAAAATTTCCTAAGGGATATAAAGTAGACCCACACAAGATTTCTACCTACTTTGTCATTTTGTCACAGAGGGATTCACTTGCTTCCTTTATTCTCACTGTAGGGGGAAAAAACAGAATGAATAGTGCCTCCACTCCTCAGGTTCCCCCCACCAAAACAACATATCAAACTTTAGTGACTTACAAATAAGCAGTTTATGTTTTGCTTCTCTCTCCATGAGGAAGTTATAGCAGTGGTTTTAGGGAGAGAGAGATTTTGATAGAAACTGTAGATTTGTGTGTTTTTATTATTGTTTTATGGATATTATTAAGCCAAAAATCAAGATATGGATCTAACAATTCTTTTTAGCTGTCAGTATGAATATTAGTTGGATAAAATTAATTTAAATGTGAAGCCAGGATTTCTAAAGTGTTATATTAGTTTCATAATTTTACCTTTCATTGTGTATATAGTAATAATTCTTTTATCCACCCTAAATTTGCTTCTTTCAAGATTTAAGAGGTCATCTCATTCTTTGTTAATTCGGGCTCTAATTGTCTTACATTAGACTAAAAGGAATTCTAATCTTTGGGAAATACCTTCAAAGTGTTGGTTTCAGATTATAATTACAAATGGTATTTTATAATAGAAAAATGCATTACTATATATTAAAGAAAACAAATTATATTTTCATGTTTTGTGTTTTTCAGTCTTTAATAAATTGTCAGTATTTTAATAAGACACCAAGAATATTACAATCACTCTGTCCATAATGTCTAAAAGACAGGTGTGTGATCTAGAGCCTTTTCTATACCTAAGTACACATGTATTTTATTTTGGGGTTTGTAGTGTTGTCTTTAGTAATATTGCATTTCCTTCATTTATTTTTTACTCCTCCAATCCTCCTGAAGGAATTTCAGAAAGATGAATGATTTTGCTTCAGAGTTTCTTTCCCATGTCCCCATAATGGAATAGAAAGGAATATGTGAGGACAACTAAATTAATTTTTTAAAAACCTAACTGCATTTATAGTTTATTTGTTTAAAACAGAGTACATTGCTACTTCTTTTAAAATTGAGCAATAAAAAGAAATAGATCCCTGAAAACTGAATGAGTAAATGGAAACAGGAAAGAGAAAATCCAACAATATTTATTCTTACAAATATGAGAAGCATTATAATTAATAATAGCAATGAGGGAAATAACATTTTTATAAACCTGTAAGAACACTACTAGTTATAATGACTTATATACCTATAGTTAAGTAAATATAAACTTATGAAGACTATGAGTAATAGATGTGAAAATGAGAAGTAATAGAGAATTGAAAAAAGTGAATGAACTATTAAATTCAGGGACTGATGGAGATAAAAGTTGAAAATTACTGTAAAACGTTGGTGAATTAGAAGGTTGATTTAGTGGTAGAATACTTGGTTAGGGTAAATATTGAAGTAAATGCTACCCCAGTCATTTCAGGTATCCAATTTAAATAGTACAATTTCTTATGAGACAAGTAACCTGTAAGACACACTTGAGGAAAAAACAAGAATACACAATACTGTTATTGATAACTTTCTTTTTTCTTGTTTTGTTGGTGCTGTAGATTTTACCCAAGGCCTTGCACAGGCTAAATATGTGTTCTGTCACAGAGCCATATACCCTCCAGCCCCCTATTTCTTTATTTTTAAATTGTCACAATATGTTTGGTAATATGAAGGTTTATAGGCAGATAAATAGGTATAGAAAGTGGGCTGGTTGGTATTGCTGTTGTCCTTGTTTTACCTCTGTTATATGTATAGAGGTTGCTAGTTTTTTCTTTCTTTTTTTTTTTTTTAACAGATTTTACCAACATTTGTTAGTGATGTAGACTGACTGACTTAACATACAATTGGTGCAGCCTTCCTTCCTTTCTAACTTTCTAATATTTAATAGTCCCTATTCTGGTTTTTAAAACCCAGTTGATTATGGCCCATGTTTTGATTTGTTTGGTGACTGATGGTGATCTATGGTTTTTAGATCTTCATTTCATTTTCAAGAACAAATTATCCTAAATCATTTTCTATATGGTATTAATTAGTCTGTCATTAGAACAGAGTATCATATAGCTAGCTGAATACATGATGCTTTGAGGCCAGATACACCATTTCCCATTATAGCCTGATATGTAGCCTAGATCACCGTTAGGTTTATTGTCTCTGAGATAACTTTCAAGTCATCTGTAAATGTGTGTGTGTGTGTGTGTGTGTGTGTGTGTGCAGTATTGGCACATATTTCAAGAACATAAAGGTATAACTGTTTGAGGATTTAGATGTTAATAGCCTGTAGGAAAAAGGTGTGGGGGGGCAGGGCAAGGATGATGTTTTTTGTCCATGATGATTTTGTCATTCATTGTTAATTTCATTTCATATATTTTTTAATTGGTTGCTCAAAACATTACAATGATCTTGACATGTCATATTTCATACATTTTATATATTTCAATTAATTATTTCAACCCAGACTTATACACATGGCTCAATTTTATTTTTTTATATTTAATTCACCATTAATATGAGTAAAAGGTGGGACGTTAAAATGAAATAAATGAAAACCTAATTTTTTAGGTTTTTAGGTTGTTTTTTTTAAAGTATAACTTTTCAGAAATTTTTAGGTACCAGAAAACTTTTGGAGGGCATTTTTCTCCATGAACACGATTTATTATTTTCACAATATATATCTTTGAATGCAAATGGATAAAACTCCCTGGTAAGGAATGTATCAATTGGATAGAAAGGCAAGTCAAATTAAAAGGTAGAAATGTGACTCATCTGATACAAAGTATCATCAAAAGCTTAAAAGCATAAGGATCAACAAAGGAACACAGGAAATGCAAAGGGAAAGCAACAGTAATCACAGTACTAATCTTGGAGGACACCTGAAGCTTCAAGGATTAAGCAGAACTCATCTTCAGTGGCATGATAGTAAATTCACAGTGAGCAGGGGCAAACAGTTCCTCTGCTATATATAGTTCCTTAAATATTCTCTTATATGCTCTCATCTCCATAAACATTTTCACATGATTTGCATCTTCTCCCACCCCAACATTGTGTATGAACTGCTTTGGAGGTCCTTGGAGAATTCAAGGAAAGCCTTTGGTCTATTACTTCCTCTAGTCCTTGGCCTTCCCCCTGACCATACTACCTGTTTTCCTTTTTACATACACCTCCCTCCTCTGCCACACATGTACACATACAGTTGTATATCTTGACACTTTACTCTTTGGCCCATCCTGGCAATTTCCTTCTTTTCTATCTCATGTACACCTTCATCCTGGCCAACAGACAAAGTCCTGCTCCCTTCTTCAGGCCAGAAGCCTTCTTGACCTCTGTGGGGCAGGCAGGAACTGGGACTCTGGGCAGTAACCATGTGCTCAATAGCTGCTGCTCTCTGAAGAAAAAAAAATTTCTATCCGGTATAATTTCAGATGTCTTGTTCTCCTGAGACTAGCTATGAAGTGTATTTCAGACGTTGGGGATCTCACAGTTATATATTTACCTTCATATTTAAATTCATGTTATAATATTACCTACTCTCTTCTCCCCCCCACACACATACATACCTACATACACACACGACTTCTCATAGTGTTTTGGTTAAAAACAATTATATGGCCTTACAAAATTCAGCCAAACTGGGACATTTTAAGAGGATGGATTATGCAAGGTCAACAGGAGTAACCCAGGATGAATGGTCAACTTCCATTTAAGGCCCTGCATGGACTTGATCACTGTTGATCTGTAGCCTCCTCTTTCATGTGCTCTGTGTGTCTCAGATTCATAGGTGCCCTTCACTTCCTTTTTTCTACTATACAAGATGGGGGTCTCACTAAATTCTCCAGGCTAACCTCAAACTCTGCCTCAGCCTGTGGAGTAGCTGGGATTGTAAGTGTGCATAGTGCTTACTTACTCTTGTACATGTTTTACCCTCTATGTGAAAAAAAAGCTGCTCCTCTGCTGTCTTTTTCACCTAATAAACTCCTCATACTTTTAGATTTTACTTGGCCAAAACTTGCACAAGAAAGCCTCCTCAGACTTTCCTGGCTAGATCTGTTTTCTCTTTACTTCTCAGAGCCATACTTGATCACATTTAGATAATTCTTGGGTTAATGTCTGTCTACCACTAGAGTGAGGCTTACTGTAGGTAAGACTTTTTCCACTATCTATTTCTAAATCACTCAGAAGCATATAGTAAAAGCTAAATAAATATTTGTTAGGTTAATTAATTTAAAAGAGGCAAATGAAGATCAAGTTTACTGCAAATCCTAAAATATTAATGTGAAAATATATAGAAATGAACCCCACCATTATGTACAACTGTAACACACCAATAAAAATATGGAAAAAAATTTTAAAAATGTAAAAGTGAAGCTTAATTTTTTTAAAAAAGTAATTTTTGCTGAGGGCTTAATATATCAGTTATCATAAGTATTTTATTAAAAGGTACACATACACACAAAAAAAAATGAGTACTTTAAGGCAGAAATCTCAGCATCTGGGAGTTGTGAAAGATCTTGTTCAAGATTTTAAACCCTGGGGGCAAGCTTTTCCCTAAATGCTCTTTTTAAAAATATATTTATTTACTTTATTTTTAACACAATACCTTTATTTTTATGTGGTGCTGAGGATCGAACCTGGGTCCCGCCCGTACTAGGGGGGCGCTCTATCACTGAGCCACAATCCCAGCCCCTCCCTAAATGCTCTTGATAGGTATTTCAATAGAAATTTTTGCTTAAAATAGTACATTTTAAATTTATCATTAAAAGTATTTAAATTTTGAATTTTTAAATTTTTATGTTATACATAAATTTTAAATTCCTACACATTAAATTTGTTGAAGAACATTTTTGGTCAAGGCTTTTTTTTTAATATAACATGCCTTTCAGTTATTTAGGTTTAATCCATGGAATCACATCTGGTTTACAAGTATCTATGTTAGTGCATTGTTCGTTTTTCCTAAGGAATCAGTACAATTTGGAAAAATATGTTATTGCTTTAATTTCCTATTATGACCATTTTAAAGTCATATATACATCTCTGTGTTGTGTGTGAGATATTTCAAATAGTAAGATACATTTTAAAGAAAATGTTAATTCCTGAGGATTAATTTTAATCACAATTAAATAAATGTTCATATATTTTTGTTGAATTAGCTATTTAAATGTATTTAATTTGAAGTTGTATATCCTGATGGGAAAATTGGAAGAAGATAGAGCAGTATAAATTTCCCACTTTTTGAGAAAGTGAGAAGAAAGAAAGAAGAGCATGTGATTATTCCTGGTTTTGGTGATCCTTTGCCTTGGGAGAAAATGTTGCTACCTTCTAGTAACAAATCTTCTAAGGCTTACTTAGCTCCATAAGATAATCAGTATTGATCTCACTTAATCATAATTTAAATGAGATTAAATTATTCTATGTATTTAAAGTAAATTTAAGCATCCTACAGATGCCGTGCTAATTATAGTCATCAGTAGCCTACTTTTTCTGACCTAAAATGGTAAATTGGGGAGGGAATTATCTATGCCTTTGAGGGATTTTCCCTCTAAAAAGAATTCAGTTCATTGTCATTGCTGCTTATTTTCACGAGATACTTTTCTAGAATCTTCACAAAACTCCACAGTAATGAATTAATCTCCCAAAAGAGAAAAGGCGACAAGTCAAATCAGACAGGTCAGATCCCTCTTCCTATTCTAATTAGAACTAGTAAGGTTGTTTAAACCCATACTTTAAACCAAAGAAGAGATTGGTAGATCCAGAATACATACACAAAACATTAGTTTAAAAAGGAGTTACAACATTTCTTAGAATACTTGTCTTTAAAGCCTCCAGTGTCTATTCCAGAAAGGGGCAGGGGAAATGGCTCAGTAAATTATCCTATCTTAATGTTTTATTTATTGGTATAGTTTTTCCTATAGATTAGATGTTTATTCTTTCACATACATATATGTGTGTATACAAACATGAGTTTTATGGGCTTCTTTCTTTCTTTTTCATTTATGGGAGTTGAACCCAGGAGAACTTAATCACTGATCTGAATTCCCAGTCCTTTTTAGTTGCTGAGGCTGGCCTTGAATTAGCAATCCTCCTGCTTCAGCCTCTGGCATTGCTGAAATTACAGGGTGCATCACGATGCCCCGCATGTTGTTATTGTTTATTATATACTATATTAACAGAGTGACTTTAGTGCTTGCAGGCTGAGAAGTAAAGGGGTGATTTGTAGGAAATCAAAGTAGGTCAAAGAGTACCATGGTGTAGCAAAGGGGAAGTCCCTGAATTTACTCACATTGTCTTGCCTCTGGTGGAATTCACTTTCATTGTTGTGGTCTAGGCCTGTCTTCCTGTGAATGGAAGAAATACTCAAATTACAGAAAAGTCTCAGAAATATTATATGTAACTTTTTAGAACAACATGTTATTGGAAGAGCCAGTAGGGGTAACCAGAGGGGAAAATAAAAATTAGAACTGAATTTATTCTTAAGTTAATTCCACACGGTAAAAATATGCACGAATATGTCAGATGTCAGCTTCTTGAAGTATGATGGAAAGAGTACTGTGTGGGTCTTGTGGGACGGAAATTAGAATTTCAAAGCTTACCCACCTAGTGTGCTTCATATATATGTATATATGTATGTGTGTGTGTATGTATGTGTGTGTGTGTGTGTGTGTGTGTGTGTGTGTTTGTATATGTAAAATAGCCATTGCCAAAGTGACCATGTTTTAGAATGAAGACGCTGTTCCAGACTTGGAAACCTATATCTTAGTTCTGAACATATGCAATTGAATAATCTAGCAATCATTTTGTACTTGCTATTATTAGGATCCAGGAGTGTGCTCTAGCTGACTTCAAAGATCCTAGAGTGTTTTGTTTTGTTTTTTTACATCTCAAAGTTAAAATAACGTCTTCTTAAAATTAAATAAGCTTATAATCCCTGTGGCTCAGGAGGCTGAAACAGGAGTATCTTGAGTTCAAAGCCAGCCTCAGCAAAAGTGAGGCACTAAGCAGCTCAGGGAGACCCTGTCTTTAAATAAAATACAAAATAGGACTGGGGATGGGACTCAGTGGTCAAGTGACCTAGTACCAAAAAAAAAAAAAAAAATGATAAGAAATGGCTTTCTCAGGATGGCTAAATATTAAGAAGTTATCATATATGGATTTTATATATGTAAAGTGACATATATGGAGTTAACATAAATTTTGGAAAACTATATATTAAATCTAGTATTTTCTCAAATATAGTATACTTGGTATCTTGGATTATGTTATCTCATGGAGCAGGTTTTCCTTTCTTAAGTACCCACCCCTGACCCTTTTTAAGGGCAAGAAACTCTTGAGAATACTAAACCTTTTAGAGCTCAGAGTTTTGCTGAAGTTATTTTCTATTCTTGTATTTGCTGACAACTTAAAAGCTATCATATGAGTGAAATCCAGTTGCCTAGATTGTTTGATGATTTTGGACAAGTGTGGATCAGGATTTCCTGTAATTTTTCTTCCCCTTCTGGGGCTGTGTTGCCTCTATCTCTGAGCAATTGTACACTTGGAAAGCAAAAAAAAAAAGCAAGGTCACTGGATCTAAATTACTTTTACTTCTGTGCCAAATAAAACTTTTCCTTCTGCTATTGTTAACAGTTTTTGGCATCTTTTGGCATCTAGAAAGAGAGTTGCAGTTTGAAGAGGGAATGTGGGCTTTTTAGGGGAAAGATTTTTCTGAGCTGAAGTCTCATTTTTTCTGTACTTTGTTCAGAGACAGCCAGTCCTTGCTCTTTAGCCGAAATATGTTCCTAGGATCCATATGATAAAACAGATTGTCCTTAAGAGACAGCTTAAAATCCATTCCTGAATTCTTTGTGTTTGGGGGTACAGCTGAATGAATTTTTTTGAAAGGATATGTCAAAGGGAAACATGTTTTAAGAAGTATACATTCTGCTAAAAGTACTGTAATTGCTTGCTAAATGAAGGGGATAATCTTTGCCACTGTCTTAAATACCAGAAGTGCCTGCAGAAGAGCCTGGCTATTTTTTCTGGATCAGGAAATGAACAGCTAGGTTCCAGAAGATAAGAGAAGTATGAACTTATGAGCAAAAGCAGATCCTTGAATAAAAGGAACCTTTCTTTGGAAACTGTAATTGGGGTTTAGGGAATTGTTGAGTGTGTCAGTCAGAAATGTGCAAATAACAGAAGACCCTAAGCAGATATTGGGTCTCCCTCCACAAAAAGTCTTAATCTAGGCAGTCCAGAGCTGATACTAATGCTCGGCTATATTAATAGTGACCCTTCTCCAGCCTTAGAATGTAGTTTTCATTCTTAAATTCACAAAATTACTATTATACCTTCAAGCATCACTGTATTGTTAATCTATTAATACATAACAAATTATCCCCCATATTAGTTCCCCTACCCCTCAGTATTGGAGATTGAATCCAGGGGCTTCTGCCACCAAATTATACCCTCAGTCCTTTTTAAACTTTTGGATACAGGTTCTCACTAATTGCCAAGTTTGGCCTTGAATTTGCCATCCTCCTACCTCAACCTCCCAAGTCACTGAGATTATAGCCATGCATCCAGCTAAAAACCTAGCTTTAAATAGTAGACATTCATTACCTCAGAGTTTCTGAGGATTGGGAATTTAAGAGTGGCTTAGCTGGGAGGTTCTGCCTCAGAGTCCCTCATGAGGTTACAGCCAAACTCTCATATGGGGCTACACTACATTTAAGACTTGAATCAGCTGGAGATCTGCTTCCAGACATTCACATGGCTATTGGCAGGAGGATTCAGTTCCTCACCATATGGACTGCTCCATAGGACTCAAGCTATGGCAGCAGGCTTTCCCCAAAATAAATGATCTGAAATAGGTGGCGGGAGAGGAGAGAGAGCATCTTGAGTATACAGATGAGAGGGGAGTATAGAGACAAGAACAAGATGGAAACTAGTGTCTTTTAAAATATAATTTTGGATAGGTCACACAACCCTGATACAATAGGGGAAGAAACTCGGGATGTAGCAGGAGGCAGGGATCACTGGGGTACATCTTAGAGGCCATAGAAATGTTCCAGATGGTAAGGAGGAGGAAAGAAAAGAGGTTGTGCAAGCAGACTTCTGTTTGTATCTCACTGATCAGAACTGTATAATATAGCCTCTCAGGGGATGTTGGGAAGTCAAGTGTTCAATTTTCACAGCCTCTGTAGTAAGGTAAGAGAAGAAAGTTGGAAATGCAGATTGGGTTAGCCAAATGTCCATCATCTACCACTACCTAGGCATTTCATGATGTTGACTACTTTTTTTTTTTTTTAGAATTTTAATATTTATTTTTTAGTTTTCGGCGGACACAACATCTTTGTTTGTATGTGGTTCTGAGGATCGAACCCGGGCCGCACGCAGGACAGGCGAGCGCACTACCGCTTGAGCCACAACCCCAGCCCCTGTTGACTACTTTTAATTTGCCTTATTCTTAAGAGTTAACAATTAATGTTGGACATGGTGGTACACACCTGTAATCCTAGCAGCTCAGGAGGTTGAGGCAAGAGGATAACAAGTTCAAAGCCAGCCTCAGCAACTTAGTGAGGCTCTAAGCAACTTTTGAAACCCTGTCTCAAAAGAAAAACATTTTAAAAAGGGCTGGGGATGTGGCTCAGTGAACACTCTAGGTCAACAACAATGACAACAGTTAGCTTTCTAGAAGGTGATTTATTTTAAAAAGCGCCATACAAAAGTATCCCATAGGAGAATTGCCCAGGGTCCTTAGCCACAGGTTCTTGTGATCCTACAGAAAGAATTTTAGATGGGTTGCACAGAGTATAGTCAGGAGTTTATTAGAAAAGAGAAATGAAGATAATATACAGTGTGCGTGGGGTGTGTGTGTGTGTGTGTGTGTGTGTGTGTATATATATATGCATGGCACAGAGCGCCTCCAGAGAGAATGGAGTGGCTCTTACAGAGTCTGGGTTTTTTGTTTTGTTTTGTTTTGTTTTAAGAGTTTCAGGTTCCTTTGTTCTTGTCTAAGTTTCACATATCTCCCTTAAGTGATTTATTACCCTTTGTATAACCCTCATCGAATTTCCTTTGTGAGGGTCCTGATAACCTGATCACAAGGGGAGGGTCATGAAGAACTGTTCACAAGGAATAGGTGTGACATGATCTTGAGACAGTAGTTTTTTTGGCATACCCATTCCTATTTTCCAGATGTTTGTCTATTTTGATAAGGTTCCCTGTGATTCCTAGTCCTGTGATCTGTGAACTCTGATGTACATGTCAGATATCCTCCCTGTAAGTTACCACCTTTCATTGTCTTTCCCCACCCACCTTCTCATGGCTGACTAACTGCCTAAGGAAAGGAACCCTGAAAATTAATTTTTTATGTGTAGTGATTGTTCAAGTTGTTACAGAAATAAAGCTCTCACCAGAGGCTAGCAGAAAATATCTGAAATTTTCTAAATTTTGAATCATAGTTTGTTTTGAGGAAGTTTTTTTGTTATTTTCTTCTCTGTTCTTTTACTTTTGTTTTCTTAAAATATTTGAGCAGGCTGCATGTGATGACGCAAGCCCATAATCCCAGCTTCTTGAAAAACTGAGGCAAGAGATGAGAGAGAGAGAGGGAGGGAGGGAGGAAGCCAGCCAGCTAGGAATGTAGCTCAGTGGTAAAGTGCTCCTGGGGTTTAATCCCTAGTGCCTCCAAAAAAGCAAAACAAATAAAAACCAAAAAGAAAAGATAGGGGGCTAGGGCTCAGTGGTGGCACAGTTGCCTGGCATGTGTGAGGCACTGGGTTAGATTCTTAGCACCACATATAAAATATATAAGTAAAATAAAGGTCTATCAACAACTAATATATATATATATATATAAGAAAAGACAGGACATTTAAATTCTTTCACTAATTATAACTCCCAGAGTGTCTTGATTCTATATTTAGGTACATTTGTTGTTTATCATTGGTATAAATAATCAGAAAATTAAATTGACAGTAACTTAGAACTATATATAAGAAATTCTGCACAGACCTCAACCCCCCCAAAAGAAAATTTAAGAAAAAAGTGAAGAGAAACATTTTGCCAATAACATTAAAAATAGAAAGAAAATAATGACAAGGGAAAATTGGAGGGAAAGAAATAATCCAACTGAGGGTGAAAATTACTAAAAATATACAAATTAATTTTAATTACCAATAAAAAATAGAATTTTCTTGCCACATTTGGTGAAATCAGACTTGATGAAAGAATGGCCACAAAAGACAACTTACAATAGCAGAAACTTATAATCAATCAAATTTGATATGGATGATTGAGTTTAATATGGAAAATATTATGATAAAGGAATCAAATCTTATGTGAATAAAATTAATTTCAA